ACACACACACACACACACACACACACACACACACACACACACACACAAAGTAAAATAAATATAAAACAAGATAAAAAAGAAATGAATCTCATATATTTCTCAGGAGGAACAATGAGAGAACTACCACCAAACACTGGCAGCAGAAACCATCATGGAGTGCCCAGAGGAAGGGGCCTCTTGGAGAACAGGTTCAGAAGCTCCCAGAATACTTCTCTTCATGAGGCATTTCCACCCTTCCTTTCTATCCTTGGAAGACGAGAAGCTGGCTTTCCTGGGAGAATTGAAATTTCCTTGATGCCCCACACACCTGGTTATCTGCTATCATTGCTCCCAGAAAACCCAGAAGATCCCCTCAACACGTACTTTCCCCCATGCTGTAAGAAACCAGTTGTAATCCTAAGTGGGAGGCATATGGGGTGGAAACCCCACCTTGAAGGCCTTCTATGTCACCAGCCCTCAAAGGGACCCTCACCAGGAGTACGAAGAAGACGAAGAAGACATAGGTGACAAAGTATACAGGGCCCAGGATTCGGTTGGCGTTGTCGATAGTGTTGTAGTCAAAATCTCCAAGGATTATCCGGAACTGAGTGAAACTGAGAGATCAGAGCTGGGCTTCACCCAGAGCCTAGCCAAACATTTGCCCCAATTCATACCCCCTCCCACTCTCCTAACCTCAAACGAACCCCTCACTGCCCCTAATACAATAAACCCAATATACTAAAAACAGCAGGTGTGTGAATTTCTTGAGTGTACACCTGAACTTTGGGACACTCTCAGGCACTTTAAGTACTGACACACCCACACACCTCCCCCCTTTTCCCCAAGGTCACACACACTCTGCAAGCTGGAGGGTGAGGGGCCCAGGGGTAGGAGCAGGACACACACATGCACTTGACGAATGTGCTAAAGTTTTCCACTTGGGTTCCAAAAAGCAGGTAGCCAAGCTGGGCGTAGGCAAAGAAGACAATGAAGAACATGATGGCGAAGCCCAGGATGTCCTTGGCGCAGCGAGCCAGTGTGGAGGAGAGCTGGGTCATGGTTTTGTTGAAGCTGATGTACTTGAATATCTGCAAGGGCCACGGTGAAGCAAGTGAAGGAGAAGAGGTTAGAAGCATAGAGCACTCCAGGGACAGGCGGAGGCCATAGGAGGTATCGAATCAGACAAGAAAAATGAGACCCACGAAGAGGAAGGTAAATGAGAGCCTTGTGGCAAGGTGGGAGGCAAGTCCCAGGTACCTTGATCCAGGCAAAGAAAAGGTTGACGGCATTCATGTTGTTGTACTGTGTCTGCCAGAAGGCCAGGAACTCAAAGTCTGCGTACGTGTCTGGCTGCTGCAGGAGCCTTCCCATCAGCCGGTTTACTTCCAGGGTACGGAATATGTGGAAACCCACAGCCACCATGGAGAGCTGTCACATAGGAGTCACGGGGAATGTCAGAGAAGACAGAGGAAGCTTGAGGAAAGTTCAAAGATGAGCTCCCAGAGGGGTATTCAGAGAAAAGAGAAAACAGCAGGGTTCTCAAGAGGCCAGGTCATAAATCGAAAGGCCAAGGAGACTGAGAATAGGTTTGCATCTATTCTGAGGCAAAAGTAAAAAGGAGGGTCCCCATTCATGGGTGAGGAGGGGAGGAGATGAGGAAGGAAAGATTTCCCAAGATCTGAGCCAGGGAGATTCAGGGCGCTTCTGGTAAGACAAAAGGAAGAACTCAGCTCCCCTATCAAAACAGAGTCTTTCTCTCCACCCTCCAGTACGTCCCAAGTCCCTCACCAAGATGACCACCAGGTCCAGAACGTTCCAGACGCTGCTGAGGTAGTGAAGCCGGTGCCTGTGGATCTCCAGGATTTCCTCCACCACATAGTAGAAGATGAAGACGCAGAAGATGACCTCACAGCCCACGACGAAGAAGTCCCAGTTACTCACGTAGCGGATCAGCTTAACTGTGCGGATTTGCCAGGATGGAATGGTCCCTCCTGTGGCTGGGAACTCCACCACCAGCCTGTGAGGAAGGTGAGTTGGCTAGGGGAGACTGGGTTAGGACAGCTTCTCCTATTTCCCAGGTTCCTCACAGCCAACCTAGGGTACCTGGCTGGTAGGGAAGATCTCAAGCACATCAGATGGACAGGAGCCACAGACAGAGAGATTGAGTGGGGAAGGGGAGCTCACCTCAGAATACAGAAAAGATTGATGTTGGCGTTGTAGACTGAGAAGTCGATGAAGACCACCCGAGTGCCCCTGTCCAGCCACAGCCCCTCCTGAAGGCCTTGGAGGGCCTCGGCACTGGCTTGCCGGGATCCCGGAAGGTCCAAGTAGTACCCACCTCCACCGTAGCTGGTGAGCCTGCCCCAGTGGGAGGAGCCCCCCAGCTCACTCTGTGAATGGTATGTCCACCTGCCGAGAGAAAGGCCATCTGAGCACAGAGGGCAGAACCAGAGGAAACTCTCACCCCCCAAGGCAGTTATGAATGCCTGGCTTTACAGCTCCACAGGCACTGTGTAAACTCAGAGGACTATCTACATAGATCTATACTATCTGTCTGTACCTACGCTGTGCCATCTGCACAGAGATAGCACAGTTAGACAGACAGTCGCTGTGCCATCTGTCCTGTACATACGTACACCTGTGTGCGTGTGCCGTGCGCGGCACCTGTGTAATTCTGCGAGAAGCCTGTCTTACATAGCCTGTGTGTAATGTCACACACGGTGCAGGTGCTATCACCTACAATAGGTGTTTCACACACGGCAGTTGGCTTCCTACGAACAATTGTTGGGGAAGAGAGGGAAGACACCGTCCACGCTTTGAAGTAGAGGGAATAAAGATTCAGGGAATTCCAAGATAGTCAGCTACCTGGTGATAGTCCTGAAACTCGACTATAAGTTGAGGAAGACCTCTTCCACGAGAGGAGCGCATTCTTGGCCCCAGGCTGTCCAGTGTACATGAAGGAAACACTTAGGCCATAAATCCGGAAATGATCTTTTCCAGTTCCTGTGGCTCTATCGTCGGCTGGCCAACCCTCAGGATTTCTTGTTCTAGCTCCTCAACACTCCTCTCCCGACCCCCAATTTCTTTCACGCTTACATCTGCTTCTTTCCTAC